TCTGTGAGTTCGAGACCAGCCTGGTCTACAGAGCTAGTTCCAGGACAGGCTCCAAAGCCACAGAGAAACCCTGTCTCGAAAAACCAAAAAAAAAAAAAAAAACATAGAGACTAAATGAAGATTAGAAGTACATGCTTTCCTGCTGTGGGACAATGGTTTTATACCCCGTAAAGACCTGTCAGTTATATTGGTTTAATAAAATGCTGATTGCCAGTAGCTAGGCAGGACCTATAGGTGGGGCGACTAGAACAGGAGAATTCTGGGAAGAGAAAAGGCTCAGTCTACAGTCATCACCCAGACAAGGAGGACACAAGATTAGAATGCCTCACTGATAAAAGGCACCAAGCCGCATGGCTAATACAGACAAGAATTATCGGTTAATGTAAGATGTAAGAATTAGTTAATTAGAAAACCTGAGCTAATAGGCCAATCAGTTTCTAATTAATATAGGCCTCTGTGTGTTTCTTTGGGACTGAATGGCTGCGGGACCGGGTGGGACAGAAACCCTCTGTCAACACTTTCCCAATTGAAAAACAAACAAACAAAATGATTTAGTAGTAACAGTGGGCTCATGCTGTAAATTAAGCCTAAATAGAACTATTTGGACACATATAAATCTGCCTAATAGAATACATGTACATATGTGCTGGATGTATATCTGTAAAGGCATACAGACAAGTAGATACAGTGTATCATCAACCTTTTCAGCTAGCTCATCTGGCATTCCTCTAAAGCTTTGGAAGCAATAATAACACGAATATTTGAACATAAAATAAAAGAACTAACTTTCATTCACTTCGTTAATATTGGACTAGCCAGTAGATTATACCCACAGCAGAGGAAAGGCCTTATACCAACTGAATGAATTCTTTACCATAGTCATGGGCAAGAATACTAGTCATTTTGCTATATCAAAATCTCCTCTCCCCTGCAACCCAGCCTTCTAAACGCAAGGAAATGGCTGCAGAGCACAATTATGTGAAGAATAATCGCTACCTTATATCCTGCTGGGCCATATTTAAAATAGGCTCTCACTTAAACTATCTAAAAACTTTAGACAACTTACACCTTAAACCTATCCAAAATTAAAGTTCCACACAGGCTGGCTAATTCTGCAGTCTATTCAAATGATTTCCTTTCCAAACTCTGACCTTCAAGGCATGATTAACCAACACCCAGACTACCAGAGATTGCCCAGGAAGAGTTCCCGACTCTGTGCTCAAGGATTTCTCAGGCCACTACTGCAAACTCTGACAGAATGTTAATAATCCTGATAGGTTAAATGTGGTAAATGCACATCAGTACATAAACAAATAGTGTTGGTGTGTATATAAACACATATATGCAGCGCTGTATGTGTGTTATAAGGCACAATCCTTCTCTTACTCTATATGCATGTTTGCGTTAAGAAAATATAGAAATTACAGCTTTGTTTTCAGTAGTGCTCTTTTGCTTTACAGCTATTTCAATAAACGCATTGTGTTGACACCATAAGGCTCCTCATTAAAGGGTACAATTTTTTAACAGCTTAGATAAATGCAGCTGTACTAGGAAAACAAAAATTACACTGTGGATGAATGCACACACACACACACACATACACACAAATGCTCTTCTAAAACTATGAGGAAATTAAATTTTGCTTTGTGTTTTACATTTATACTGGAGTTAATTTGCGGGCAATAAGAACAGTTAACACTCGCAAAGGGCTGAGGAAACAATATGTATCTGCCTTGAAAGATGAATGTTAATTAGCAAGGCTCATCACAGCTGAGAAAACAAACCTGCTGAATCCTGCAGTGAAGGTGCCTTCACATGGTGCTAGCAAAGTCATGGCAACCTCCTGTGCTTTCAGAGTGAGCAAAACGTTCTATGCTTGTTTATTAAAGAATTGGATAGTATTTCTAGGTCCATCCATTTACCCGTGTTTGAAGAAAAGTTGGAAGGGGGGGGGGGTACCTGAACCTGGAAGAGGCTGAGGGAGGAAATGGAAAAGGGAAAGTGAGGTAATTTTATTTTAATTAAAATTTATTTTAAAAAAATCGGAGCCCAAATAATAAGACCAACTCTAAGGATTCTCTGACATGTCTCATCCAAACCTCTTCAGCTCTGCCTGATTGACTCACGAGATCAGACACAGCGGACTGAAAGCGCCCTTCAGTAGATTTGATTTGTGTAAAAGTGATGGACACATCTATCATTCTGCATGAAACTCAAAACCAAATGGACCAAAGACCTCAACATTAATCCAGATCCACTGAACCTGATAGAATTGAAAGTGAGAAATTGCCTTGAATTTGGGACAGGAGACCACTTCCTAAATATAATACCAGTAGCACAGACACCAAGATCAACACTTAATAAATGAGACCTCATGAAATTGAAAAACTTCTGTAAGGCAAACGACACCATCATAGGACAAATCAGTACCCTCAGGATGGTAGAAGTTTTTCATCAACCGCACATCTGACAAAGGGCTGATTTCCAAAATAAAGAATTCAAGAAACTAGATGTCAAAATACCAAACAATCCAATTAAAAATGGGGTACAGATCCTAATAGAAAATTCTCAAAAGAGGAATCTCAAATGGACAAGAAACACTTAAAAAAATACTCACCATCCTTAGTCATCAGGGAAATGCAAATCAAAAAGACTCTGAGATTCCATCTTACACTTGTCAGAATGGCTAAGATCAAAATCACAAGTGACAGCTAATGCCAGAGAGGCTGTGGAGCAAAGAGAACACTTCTCCATTGCTGGTACGAGTGAAAACTTGTACAGCCATTTTGGAAATCAGTAAGACAGTTTCTCAGAAAAGTAGGAATCAATCTACCACAAGACCCAGCAATACTATTCTTGGACTTATACCCAAAGGATGCCCAGTCCTACCACAAGGTACTTGCTCAACTATGTTCATAGCAGCTTTATTCATAATAGCCAGAACCTGGAAAAACCTAGATGTCCCTCAACCAAGGAATGGATAAAGAAAATGCCAGGCTAGGGAGATGGCTCAGAGGTTAAGAGCATTGGCTGCTCTTCCATAAGTCCTGAGTTCAATTCTCAGCAACCACATGGTGTCTCACAACCATCTGTAATGAGATCTGGTGCCCTATTCTGGCGTGCACACAATTAATGCAAGCAGAACAGTATACATAATAAAAAGTAAATCTTTAAAAAAAGAAATGTGTACATTTATACAAAGGAATATTACACAGCTGTTAAAATCAATGACATCATGAAATTTGCAGGCAAATGGGTACAACAGAAAAACCATCCTGAGTGTGGTAGGCAAGACTCAGAAGGACAAACATGGTATGTACTCACTCCTAAGTGGATATTATCTGTAAAATAAAGCATCACTATGTTACAATCCACAGACCCAGAGAGACCAATTATCAAGAAGGGTTGGGGGGAGGAGGGGTGGAAGCCCGGATCTCACTGGGAAGGGGAAATAGAAGAGATTTCATGAGTGGATCGAGGGCAGGTGGGGGTGTAAACAAGATGTGCGAGTAGTCAGGGACCAGGTTGGAGAATGGATGGATGGATGGGGAAAGTACTGAACGAGACTACCGGAAACGGGGGATTTCAGAGTCAGGTAAAAGCCTGCTGTAGGGGCATCTCAAGATGACCCCAGGTTCTGTCTCTGTGTTTTTATTAATCGTGCCTCAGTTCACGGAGACTGGAGCCTGCATGGGACTGACCTAGGCCCTCTGAACATATGTGACAGGTGTGTAGCTTCATCTTCTTATGGGGATCCTAACAGTGGGAGCAGAGACTGTCTTTTGCCTCTGTTTCTGGTTTGGAACCCTTTCCTCCTACTTAGTCCAGCCTTGATGAAAGAGGAGGTGCCTAGTCTCACTGCAACTTGATTTACCATGGCTGGTTGGTATACAGTGGAGGTCTGCCCTTTTCTGAAGAGGAGGAATGGATAGTGTTGGGTAGGTTGGTGGGAAGGACCAGGAGGAAAGGACGAAATTGTAGCCAGGAAGTAAAATAATTAATTGAATAAATAAATGTAAAAAAATATAATAAAAATGATATAAGGTGATGGACAGTTATTTTAATTTTTGAAATATTTATTAAGGCAATGCTTTATTTATCTAACATAGTAATGATCATTTAACCCGTGAGTGACCTACAGCCAAAGATTCTAATATTGCCTTAGCATAATACCAGTTCTTATCCACTCAGTTCTTTTTCAGCTATATGATCATGTAGAGAGTCACCAACTGCATTTTGGTTATTTACGTTGTAGAGAGAATGTTCTGGACATCAACTCATTAGAGTGTCTTCTCACTAGTCACAGAGGACATTGGCCTTCCACAGCTCCCAGAAATGTACTCTATTATCTCAGCAGACGGCACCACCAACAGACATAGAGAAAATTTAAACAACCACACGAGAACTACTGACCTTACTAGACAGTATCCTTAACTGACACCAAGGTTTTAACAGTGTTTGATTATACTGTATATGAATCTAATCAACTAAAGTTCTGTTTGAAAATGCATTAAAGGCCATAGCGTGACAGCACCCCAGAGGCTCAAGCAAGGATGGTGGGTTCCAAGCCAGCCTGGCCTGAACAGCAAGATCCCGAGATCAAAGGAAGGCAAGACGAATTTCAGCAATGCGCCGCATTAAAGACAAGAGATGGGTTGTAGGAAACGACAACTATGCATTACAATTTTTTTCTGGACTTCCCATATGGAAATGGAAGAGCCTTGGCATGGGTTCTAACACGTAAAATACTGAGGTCACTATCATTTTAATTTTCTAGCACATCTCATCTCTTACGTTTTGTGCAATAACCCATAAAAGCACAGAGATCAAAAACTCATAACAGTGTGGATGGAGGTGATTTTAACCTCTTCCAAGCCATCAATATTTATTTCTCTTTTTTTCAGTAGAAACATACTTCATTGCTCAGAAATTTGGGTTCCCAACTATTCAGAACAAACTGACACATATTCTCATTCATATGTAATATAGGTGTTGCTTACCTCCGTCAAGTGGGGCATTGGGTTAAATCCACAGAGATTGCACACTTGACTCTTGCACTCTGTACAAGTGTTGAAGTTGGGAGGATCCTGAGAGCCTATGTTGAGTTCAGTTTTGCAGAGCGGACAGGTTGGCTCCGATTTGGTGGTCTTGTCAGGCTCAGCAGGTGGAGGTTTGCTGACCTTACTGGGTGGGGGCTTCTTGTCTTTTTCTAGCCTCTTTGCTGCTGGAGCTTGCTCAGGTTTGGACTCTAAGCTCTCAGCGGCCGGAGCCTTTGTTTCCTTCTTCCCAGGTGGCACCTTGGCAGGTGCTGGTGGGAGCTGACCTGTGGGTTTAGGAGCTGCAGGGGTCTGTGATGGAGTCGGGGCTTGCTTCGTTGGGGCTGCCGGCCCAGTCTGTGGATGAGGTCCGGGCTGGCCTGCTGTGGAAATTAAGTTTGATGCTTGGCTAAAGATGGATGCTCCAAACCCGAACAGCTTCCCTGTCACAGTTTCTTGAGGAGTTGTGGGTTGTGATTTGGGGGCGTCGGTGATACTACCCAGATTCAAACTGAACCGCCTTGGTTGCTCCTGAGGCTTTAGGGGCTGGTGAGATGGGGGTGCAGCTTGACTAGGGGTAGGTCGTGGGCCAGAGGGTGTCGGTGACCCTTTTGGCACTGGCTTGGCATCTGGTTTAGGACTCATCCTCGTTTGTGCTTTCTTAGGCTCTTCCTTTCTGGGAATTGGATCAACGTGTTTTGGATCCTTGCTCTCAGAACTGGGCCCCGGATGTGAAAGAATTTTTGAGTCTGATGCAGGCCTAGGCATGGCTCTAGAATCAGATGGGGTGGTTTTTTCTCCTGTTGGTGGGAAACTGTGGGAAGGTTTGGCAGAGTCCGTTTTCAAAGGAGGGGCTGTTTGCACTTGAGCCTGTGGCTGCACCTGAGAGCTCGGAACATCGGGCCTTGTTGTTGCCACCGCTGAAGATTGAACATCAGCGCGCGGCTCTGCCGTCTTGGGCTGCTTTGGTTTAACATCTGCAACAGGTGCCTTGGCTTGTTCAGGTAGGGGTGCAGAAGGCTCCTTGGGAGGGGCTGGCTCAGGTAAGGCCTCTGCCGCTGGAGGCTTTGGGGTTGTAGCTGGGGTAGGTCCGTGAAGGGTTGGCTGCTTCACCAGCGGCGGTGGCTTTTTCGACTCAGGCGCTTTGGGGCCGTCCTGTTTGGGTGGAGGTTCCTTCTTGGGGGAAGCAGGCTGTGATGGTGCCGGTGGCTTGCTGGCTGCGGCTGCAGGAGGTACAGAGGCAGCCTTCGGTGGAGGTTCCTTCTTGGGGGAAGCAGGCTCTGATGGTACTGGTGGCTTGCTGGCCGCGGCTGCAGGAGGTACAGAGGCAGCCTTAGGGCTGGGCTTGGGTGAGGACGGAATTGGAGCCAGTTCACCTCCCAGAGCTCGTTGCATCTGACAGTTTAAACAGAGCCATTCTTTGATCTGCAAATAACATACAAGCATCGTCACTAAGATAACACTGCAAAAACCACAAACGTTTTCATAGCATGCATGTTGCCATTTTTAACTCATTATTCCAAAGATCAAATGTAGTCGTTTTCATCAAACATGCAAAGTTTCACTTTATGGAAGATAACGAAGCGCAGAGACTAAAGCACGCTATGTTTTAGGGGAAGTAAACAGGGAAACAGCATGATTTTACTCTGTTCTGCCTCCAGTGCACATCGTGGCTTTCCTCACGCACGATTTGCTCAGATAGGTTAGTTCCAGAAATAGAAAGTAATACGTAATAAAAAAAAACCCATGCATTTTAACTTCTTAGAGTCCATTAATATATGATGACATGTATTTTTCTGCTCCTGGCTCATCACCAGGTTTTAGTTACACAAGCCCGAGGAGGCTCGTCAACTTATGAAACATTGCTGATTTGTTAAGGTAGAGCATCTTCTACTTCAAGTCAACATGGTCCCACAGGGGGAAAATAAAATTAACCAAGCTAAGCTGGAAAGAGACTTCTAGGGGCAACTCTTTGATTATCATAAATAGCATGATTTAGCAAAGAAAATGTTGATTCCCTGTAAACTGTATCAAGATATTTAAGGTACTGTTTCAAATAGTAGATAATAAATATGAGTGTGTTTAAACTAGAGAAGGGGGAGAGAGCAAGAGGAACGTACATAGGTGAGAGATACACGTATGTATACACATGCACAATTACGCCCGTATTTCATATGTTGTTGACTGGGAACACATGTGGAGTTTAATATAGCAAATTATAAGATAATTAAAAGGGTGACTATTTAACATTTTGTATGATCCCAAAAATACTTACCACAGTCTATTTTAAGTATTATCAGAAAAAATATAATTTTGATTTCTGTCATTATCTAATCCTGTCCATCCAGAGTAACCAGTACTAACAGTTTGGAAACAAACTCTATACATAATGCATCATGATGAGGAAAAGTATATAAACCATAGGTATTGGGAAAATGCCAGGCAGTACAAAATGGTCAAGTTGGCTGGTCAAGCAACAGATTCTTTATTTTCAAGTAATTGTCTTTTGGAATAAAATTTAATTAATCTTTCCTAAGATTATAAAGGTACTTTTTCTTCTTTGCTTTGATTTATTTTTGAGACAAGGCATTACTGCATAATCTACCTGCCTCAGTCTTCTGAGTACTGGGATTATAGGTGTGTGCAAATAAAATTGTTTCAACCCATAAACAGCAAACGTAAGACCGGACAACTCTAAAATGTCATATTTCCATTTTAAATATTAGATTAAAAATTAAAACCATCTACAGTAAGTAGCTATGTATTCCTTAAGTTTGTCTTCAATATAAGTGTCAGACACTTCTGTACGCATGTGTTTACCATTAACTTTAATTTTTTTAAAAAATATTGTCTCGGGTAGGCCAAACCTGCCTCAGACTGGCTGCACTGCTGAGGAGCCCCTTGAACCTCTGATTGGCTGTGGATTAGATGCAGGAGTGTGAACCCAGGGCCCACACATGCTAGGTCAGCTCTGTGCAAACAGCTACACCTGCAGCTGTTCTGCATCTATAGCTTTCATGTGTTGGAAGCATTTCAAAGAGTAAATGACTTTTGTTCAACAATGCTTGAAATCATAGAGTAACCAAGTAGTGGCTGCTTCTGTAAATACTTTGGTGAAGTTACTCTGAGGTATAGAGGAACTTTCACGCCACTTCCACGCCTTTTTGATGAAGAAAGAGCTCTGTGTATAAGTAGATTCCCACCATCCAGACTGCCAATTGTAAATGTCCTACTATTTACTTTTTCTGGTGTATTTTTCCAAATCCTGACATAATTGGCCAAATAAAAGAAGAACATATAATTAGATCCCTAAATCTTTGTAAGTATAGTGTATCCAATTTTCCACTGTCCTACAAAATATCTAAGTACATGGTGTGTATCTGAGTTAATAAATGTAACTTACAAATTTCTAGAGCAAATTCTTATTATGACCACGCCGTTTTATCATTATTATTAGTTTTTTTTTTTATTTTTTCAAGACAGGGTTTCTCCGTAGTTTTTGGTTCCTGTCCTGGAACTAGCTCTTGTAGACCAGGCTGGCCTCGAACTCACAGAGGTCTGCCTACCTCTGCCTCCCGAGTGCTGAGATTAAAGGCGTGCGCCACCACCACCCGGCCCGTTTTATTATTTTTAACAGTTGTTATAGCCAACATAGATATAAAATTTTATCACTATTCATTCCTTCACTCAACTGTTTATTGAGGGCTCTGAATACTGCACAGGCCTCTGAAGGAAAGATCCAGAGTTCCCCACCTCCTGGCAGCTACAATACAGTGAAAAGTTAGAAGATACATGTTAAAGCATAATGCAACATTAAAATTTTAGCTATACAAAAAAGTATTTGAAAATGTTATGTTGTTTCCTTCTTTCATATTTGTTTCAGCCTCAGGTTTCTATTGGTAAAATATTTTTGAGGAGACAAATTTGAACTTCTGAGTAAAACTGTAAGTTCCTTCTGCCCATCATTGGTCTTTAAGTACACCTTTGGCCAACTTCAAAATTAATATAATACAACAACATATATGTGTGTGTGTGTGTGCATGTGTGTGTTATGTTATATATA